GTTGCCAACACAGTATAATGTTAGCATACAGCCAGCACCAAATAAAAAAGCACAGATAAATTCGGTATAATAGATGAGGTTATGTATAGAACATAATTAAATAGGAAATGGCCAAAGACAGAAGAGGATGTAAGAAAACAGACTTACACCCAAGATAAGGGACCCAAACCACAGGATTAGAGAAAAAGAGTAGATGATCCAGGAAATGCAAAAGTAAAAATCGGCAGAATCTAATAATGGACAAGATACAAAAGGTAAAGGACAAAGAAGTAAAGAAAAATCTAAACATGAGATCTACCAGTTAGTCTCTTGATAACAATGTTAAAACTTCCATTCTGGCCATAAATTAAACTTTTACAATAAACATCAATGATCTTTCACAAACAGTACCATTCTTGCCATTCTGGCCTCTTTTAAATAAAAATAAATAAATAAATAAATACAAGCTTCGGTTTCTCACCATGTGGGTCTTTCTACAGAGCTGTTCATTCAACATGGGAGCTGGCTTCTTCTAGATCAAATGATCTGAGAGTATTAGAGAGAAAACCTAGGACCGAAGTCACAGTTTGTGTGTATGTGTTTCTTGAAAGTGGCATACTATCATATCACTTCTGCCATATCCTGTTCTTTACAAGAGACTCACTAAGTCCAGCCCACATTCAAGGGGACGGAAATTCTGCTTCACTTCTTAAAGAAATAATTATCAAATGATTCGAGGACCTATTTTTAAAATCACACTTATGAACTTTTTTTCTCAGACACAGTAAAAAGCAAATATATTTCAACTCTATTTCACCGCTTTCTTCTACAGTGTATCCCAATCGTCCCCTTTTGGCTAGATATAATAAGGTTTTATTTTATTCATGTGTCCTCCATAATGTAAACCAGATAATTGTATGCTCCAACCTCGCCCTGTAAAATCCCTAAAAAAGGATATGCTTTGAAATTTCTAATTTCAATGTTGAGAACATGGGAATTTGGTTATGGTTAAGCCCTAATGTTTTTGAAACCTGTAATTGGACTATCAAATAGTGTTATTTTATTCTTTTAATTTTTATATGCATAACCAATAAAATAATATAAGTCTAAATTTATATAATTAGAGGTTTTGTATATCATAGTATATGCATTATAATATTTAGGATGAAATCCAAGTTTATGTGGTATATAGGAATTAGCAATTGTCATGAATTTATACATGTTATCAAAATAATTTGGATTAAAAACAGAATCCATATAATTTAGTGTATTAAAGTAGGAAATGGAAAATCTTTCATTCTTGAAAGTGACAATTAATTTATACTCTTTACGTCAAAGAGTATCAAGCTTTAAAATCTTAAAAATTGTCATGGGAGCCTAATCAAACCAGAATGTATTTTTACCAAATGTATAAATGTATATTGTATACAATGCTCACAAATGTACACTGTATGCAATGCTCACATTGAGACAAAATCACCAACTCTCTATATCTCAACACACCATGTCAAATGGACTTGATTTTTCTCTTTGTGAATAAGTACATAGTGATCAATTTCTCAAAAGAAATATGAGTGAGTTCCATCTTTGGGCTTCTTTCTCTAAAGAACTCACAAAACAAGTGCTAGAGCCAGGTTTAGCAAGTCTACTACAAATTCGATCTGGTCAGAAACCATTCTTAGAAAACTCTTCCAAATCCTTTACACCATTTTAAATGGTTCAAAGTACACACCAGCTATTTCTCCATTCAGCTATACTGATACAGCTAAATATCCTCACATACTCTTTCATATAACAAAACTGAGGGCAATGGAATGAGGATGTTTTTTCCCAAATGACTCTTTTCCTGTTCTAATATGCTCTTTCTTAGTTCTGTGAAAATATACACATTCTCTTCCAAAATTCTTGCAATATTTGGAGTTAAGCCGCAGCCCAGTTTATCTGTCAATGCTCTAAATTTCATTCTTCTAAGTACATGGCAAGTCTTCAAAATGCCTTTGCTATTCCTCCATCCAATGTGTTTGCGTCCTTTACTATTTCTTTTTGTTTCTCTACCATTTCTTCCCTCATTCTACTTCACCTTCCCTAAAATCTGAATCAGAGGGCAGAGATATAATCATTTCAGGAATAAATGATTACATTTCAAGAATGTAATCACCAGTGTTTCATTCCAGAAATATTGGTCTAATTGAGATTGGAGAGATCAAAAAACATTTCAGTTCCTTGGGTTTTCCAACCTAAATTCTGTCATCACCTGAAGGACTTTGCCACTCTCAATTTACTCTTTTGTTTAATTTTCCCTTTGTCTATGTTTGTGTTCCTTACTTCATTTGTTTTATTTTTCTCTTCTCCCATTAATTAGTAAGTTCCTAAGAGTCTTAATCACTTCTTCACTTTTGCCAATAAAATTTTACCAATTCACTTTATTGAGTTAATTTTGATAAATATTTATTGAGTGATCATTGTCTGCTGACATCTTATAACTAGGCTTTTATCATAACCACTTTCCCAAAACAGTCATTATTATGGCCAACTCTTAGATTAAGTCAGCCATCCTTCCCAGCATCTCAAATATTTTCTCTACGTATTATCGTTGATCATCTTTTTGTCTTTAATACCCATATGTATGTGTGTATATGTGACTTTTATTGGATGCTAATTCTTCTCTCTTTAAGAATTTCTTCAATTTTTCCCTTCTTGGTTCTTTTTCCAGAGGCCTATTAGCTATAGCTTTTCCCAAAAAACTCTTGAGATATTACTGTTTCTCAGTTGATACTAAATGAACTTCTCTGTTTAAGCAGCTTTAGTTAAACACTTGTATATGGACTAATGTAATGCCTTTGTGGCTACCTCAAGCTTGAATACAGAAAACTGAATAAATGAGACTTGCCGTATGCAAGCTCTTCTCATTTAAATGTGGTAGTGGGAAACATTACTACTCAGTTCATTTTGGTTAATGAGCTCCTTTTTGAAAGACTTTCCACACACTGAAGAGCTCTCACTTGAAAACATTATCTTCACTTTAAGAAAGTCCTCTAAAAATCATCTTCCTTTTATTTGCTTTTTGTCATATCTGTGGATACCATAATAATGGTTTAATACATACACTAAAGTATCCTAATGTCTTAATGAGTATATCAAGAAAAGGATATTCCTCATTGGCTGTCAGAGTTAGCAGGAAAAGAATTTTTATATTAGATTAAAATTATTAAAATATTTTAATTAAATACATATTAAAATATTACAGAGCTAAAATTAATATTGCCAAATGTTCTCTTCAAAAAGTGATGTTACTATTTAATTCAATGGCCTAAATTATCTGAAATGCCCATGAAATAATTCCAGGTAATGTATTTCAGCATTTAGCAAGCTGAAATAGCTATAGTTTTCAAAGTTGTATTTTCTTCCTAAGTTTGCCAATTAACCAAGAATAGAAGCTTGATTTTTCTGTGGGTTTACATTAATACCTATGTGTTGCTTATTACAATTCATAATGAAGTTACAGACGATAAACAATTCACATGCAACACCAGGTAACTATTTTTCAATAGTTATTTTAAAGTAAACTTTTACTGAAATATGCGAACAAAAAGCTCACAAGTTATACATGCACTGTGTAATAAAGTTTTTCAAAGGATCCCTTGCATGTCATCAGTACCCAGATCAATAAATAGAACATAAAATAGCTGTATTTTGTGGCATGTTTTATTCTGTTATGAAGAAATGTTTGATATGAAATTTTTGGTGTTTATCTTTTCATTCTACAAAATACACATTCTACAAAATAAAAAGAAATAAACATAAGCAATTACCCACATTATCAAAATCCAGAAGAGGTTTCAGTGACAGAATATATTACATATAAATTTTTTAATATGGATTTACCATTAATTTATTTCTTTGAAAATAATTATAACAATTCTGTGCGGTGTGACTATGAGAACTCTTGAAGGACAAATGCACATTGTTTTGATAAAAATTCTATGTTTGTTGTTTATTTGGTTGGTTTTATATTAAACTTTTGAAAGATATAGGATGCCTCAAAGGAGAAGTATTTCTCTGTGTAGATTCAGTATGAAACATGTCACTACTGAATGTTGCATCTACCGTACTTTAGTGCAGTGGGATGTTTCCATGTCACATAGTCAGAGGGAGGTAGATTAATAGGGAGTTCTAGCTGGAAATTTCTTCCCTGTTATTGTTCTCCCTCAGCAGTTGATGGCTAAGTTAATTCTCTTTAGTTTTGTCATGCTCTAAAGCACACATTGCCGAGCAATGGTAAGCTTTATGAGGAAAAAAGGAAGCGATGGTGTCCATCAAAGTCTTAAAGTTGCATTTTTAAACTTTGGCTTGACCTGATGTGCCATTCAAAAAAGCTTTAAAAGATTATTTTTTTAAAGAAAGGTTCAATATGTCCTGAGGCTATCGGTTTTGAGTTAAACTGGGTGAAGTAGAAATATTTTACTCATCAGCTTTGCAGTCACAGAGTTTGCCTCAGCTAGAACAAAACTGCTGAGGCATTTAGAGAAAATTAACCCCCCATCCTGGCGGCCAGATGTGACTGGTTTCTGATGAATGCGCATGAGTGGGCTGAAAAATCAAGAGACTGTGAAATTCCTGTCAGGTCCGTACAGTGCAGAATGGGCTATTGACTGCTTTCTATATTTCCCTCCATCATTCTTCTTGAACACTGCCATTAATTTCCTCTCCTACTCTGACTTGTGTTTTTTCCCCCTCCCTCTTCCCTTTAGCTCTGTCAGCTGCAAAGAAGGATACACAAGGTATGGCAGAAGTACTTCGAACTGGTGGTCCTCTACAGCCAGATGAGGCTGGCCAAGTTCCAGACAGACTCTCAAGAGAGCATTCAGAAAATATTAGCTGTGCAGGTAGGTGATTGCAGGGAAGTAGGAAAGATCATTCTGATCTAGATTGAAAAGCAAATGATGGGTAGTGTGATGAAGCATTAAAACCATATCCCATCAGAGTTTTATAAATTTTTAACCTCTTTAATAAACTGGAATTGCATGAAGGATGAATTCAGTAAGTTAGCATATATACCATGCATACTTTGCGGGGGAGAAGTGATTGAACTTATTTCTCACAAATCTCAGAATGGATTTTATAAATACATTTGATAAATATATATCTATTTCCCCCCAAATCTATAAATACATTTGATAAATATATTTCCCCCCCAAATCTTTGGGCTTTGCAGATGACATTCCGCTGTTTCAAAGATACTGTCAACAGTTGCCTTATAGTTGCTTTTGTGTGAAATCTACCGCAGTGAGACTGACACTCAGGTTCATTTTTCAAACTGTTTTCTTTCTCTTTCTGTTTTGCAAGAGGCTCAGCCTCCTAAGCAGGATATGGAGATGACTTTATTTTAAAAAATAAGCAACTTAGGGTTAGAATGTAACTATGGTTCCAGATACGTGTGAAATTTTAGTATTTGTCCCATTAAAAAACTTTCAGTGAGTCAATTGTTGTTATTTTAAGGCTCTGATCTATTTTAAAAACCCATATTGTCTCTGTGAAGACCATTATAGGAAAATGGCCTAAATCTTTTCAAATTACTATTTTACTGTTTGAGATGTTACAATATTATAAAACATGACTTCCCAAAGGAAAACACACACTACCTTGTTCTATTAAAAAGCGAAAATAAGAAGTATCTGTTGTATTTTAAAAAAGACAAAGACACATGTTCTTTAAAACCATAATTTTCATTAACTTGCAGTGTAAACAATGCATGCTGAACTTAAACCACATCTTTTTCTAAATATTTTAATTACATCACTTCATGATGTTTTTACTACAATTAAAGAAAAGGATTCTGTAAAGCACTTCCAAAGCCATTTCAAATTTCATTTTTACTGATCACTATTTTTGCTGTTTTCTTCTTAGGATATATAAATAGATTCTATTGAAAATGAATTATAACAAAAAAAAAATAAAATAATAGCAGAAATTTAAAGTTTTGAAAAAATATTGCTTAAAATGTATAGGTTTAATAGAAATTCATATACAAACTTGAGTGTAAATTATAATTGCACTATTTTGAAGTCAGGAACATGGTTTTTTTTTAAAAAAGTCTATTTACATATAATACATTAAAAACTATGGACTGGCTATAACCTGTGATTTTCTTTTAAATATTCAATGGTAATTAGTATGTTCTAATTATTATCTTAGAAAAATCTCATATTTCTGCCCAAATATAAACATTCTTAAAAATCTTACAAATGATAAATTTTCATTGTGAATGAGGGTGTATTTTGAAATATTGAAAAATGTCAGTAGAAACTAGTTGAATATTGATAAAGTGAATTCTTAATACACAACCTTCAATAATCGTTATTCTAATTTTTTATTACTAATTTACCAATATATTTTTACCAAACTTCATTTTAAATTATCTTTATGGCTGTTACATAACAGTGGAAATTTCCTATGGATAGGAAAACACAACCACTCAACATCTAGAGACACAGCAGCAAGACTGGATTATATTTAGGGAACTTGAAGAGAATAATTTGGTGGATTCTTTTCTAATCTGCAGGAGATGTCTTCAATTTAGGATATTTCAATTTAGGCTTTTAATAAAAATTGTGAAAATATAATTTTTAGGTTATTGCCATGAAACTATAGAAATATGCAATCCACTGAAACCTTCAGCCTATACATATCACCATACTGTGGTTGTGTTTTTAGCAGTTCACTCTTCCTACTTGTTGTTCCTCTCGTCATCCTAGAAGATCCTAAGCTCCTTTGGAGCTTTATACCATCAGTGAAATTAGTTCAATTCTTGCTCAGTTGTTTTTGAGGGTGCATGGTAGCAGGGCCACTAAAGGAATCTGAGAGTATCCGTGCCTATCTTGTTTTCACTTATTATATCCAATTTTTTTAAAGAGTAACGTGGGAGAGCGATTTAATATATTCGCAGAGTGAGTCTACAGCTGTCGGTCTCTACAGTTTAACTCAACATGGCTAGAAATTGCTAACAGATCAGATGTTATTGCTCTCTTCTTTCATATAATTTAGCAGTATGTCAATATTGGGGAATTATTTAATGGTATTTAATATTTAATACTTCTTTGGCATCTTACTTGGAAAAAGACTGGGCATTAATACATCATTTAAATAAGAGAATGTGATGCATCTGGCTACAACATGTTAATATCATCTTAGATAGTTTAAGCACATGTATTTTGTCTGGGTAAAGGAGATGATAGTCTCATACTTTTTCAAAAGTTGAGTACATCTACAGTGTTTTATACAGGTTTGGAAAGCATAGTTTAGTGGCCATATTGATACATTAGAGAGCAGTAATATAAGAAAGATCAAGGAGATGGAGAATATACACAATTTAGAATGCTTAATTGTAAAAGGAAAAGACTTTGGGAGGACAAACATCTAAAAGACTGCTAAGGGAAGTTGCATATATATATACATTTGAGCTCTAGAGAGCAACACCTGGACCAGTGATGGAAAAGTTTGGAAAGTGGATTTGGGCTCAATAGGAATACCTATTCTAACAAATGTTGCTGTCTGATCATGCACTGCTGGTGCTCAGGCAGAAGTTACTGCAGTAGTTGAGGGAAAGTGAATAGTCTAAGAGGCCAGGGACGACCTCCTCAGGCAGCACTCACCTGGCATGTTCCCCTGACCTCCTTAAACAAACATCTGTATATGTGATTGTAACTCCTCACCTACTAGAATGTAAGCCTTCTCTGTCGAAAAACATGTCTCATTTGCTCATCTTTATCTTCCTGGTACCAACTACACTTCTCAACTACACTACTCAAAAATATTTGTTGACTGAATTGATTATTAGTTGAATTAGTGAATTGGTTTATTAAGAGTGAATGTGATAACCTCAAAGGCTCTTTTCAGGTTAGGTTCCTACAATTCTATAAGTTAATAAACACAAGCATTCTCTAGGTGCTTTACCAGGAATTTTGATGGCACAAAAATAAGGTGCCTCTCTTGCTCTCTCATTCTCTCATTCTCTCATTCTCGTTCTCTCTCTCTCTCTTTCTCTCTCTCTCTCTCTCTTACACACACACACACACACACACACACACACACAATACATGCAGGGACAGCTCAGTTTTCCTATATATGGAGGAGAACTGTGCAAATAAAAAGAAGCCAGGAAAAACACAGGATAAAAACATAAAATCACTTAACAATGAGATATAAAAGAAAATCTCTGAAGCTATTTTTTTAAGACAAAAAAATATATAGAAATTTGGACTTTTAAAATACAGTTAGAGATATTATGATTGAAGAATAATATTAAATTGCTAAATTTTACTGCTTAATTCTAGATAGTAGTAAAAAAGTTATTTTAATATAGTTGCTAATAAGTTAAGAATATCTACTAGAAGTCTAGAAATAAGATTTGTCATTTCCAAACTACTAGAGAAAAAGTACCATAAAAATCGAAAGATTAAAAATACAGAAAGGATTGGAAAAATATAAAAATGTACAAAATAATCTCAGCCATATTATTATTTCATTTATTTATTTATTTATTTATTTATTTTAGTCGAGGCAAACGTAGGTTGACCTCACAGATTGCAAGGACCTTGTGAGCTTACAATCTCTTATTTAAAAAATTTTTTTATGCCTACAGTACCTGGTCTCCCATCCAAGTACTAACCAGGCCTGACCTTGCTTAGCTTCTGAAATCAGACAGGATCAGGCTTGTTCAGGGTAGCATGGTCATAGACTCAACCATATTAGTGATCATAATAACTGTATATGGTTTCATGACACAGTTTAAAGTACAGATTTACAGATTGGTTGTAAAAACAAAATCCATTTCATTTAGAAGAGATGCACCTTAGACAAATATAAACTTGAATGAAAAGCCCAGAAAAAAATAAGTTCTAATTTAAAAACAAAGAGAGAGACTTCAAACCAAAAAGAAAACACTCAAATATGAGTATTTCCTATTGATATAGTACATCGACATATCAATTATGAACTTAATGCACATGCAACATAACTTCAGAATATGTAAAGTAAGAACTGATCGAAAGCCAGAGAAAACTTTAAAAATTTATACTCACAATGGGAAATATTAGCACATCTGCTTGAACTTTTTAAATAAGAGCCTCACATATCAAAACCTGTGAGTTTTTATTCAACTGCAAAGAAATTCAACTTTAGGAAACATTAATGTAATTTAATATGATACTATTAAAGGAGAAAGATTATATGTAATTACTCTATATATTCTTTAAAAATTTGCTAACAAGAGCAACATATATTTACTCTAATAGAAGTCGCAAAGTAGATTAGAGCAAAACTCCCTTAATTTGATAAAATATACTAAATGATAAATTACTGGAAGCATTTTATTAAAAGTAGGGTAAAAAATAAGGATTCCTGCTATCACCATTACTGTGCATCACTGCACTGAAGCCTTAGCAGTAAGCCAAGAAAGATGATTAAGAGGTACAGATACATTTTTGTGTGCAAAAATGACAAAACTATCATAATTGCCTGACAATATGTTGTTTCTCTTAGAAAATCTAGGAATATCAACCAGAAAAGCATCAGAATTAATAACAGTTACTTAAAATGGCAACCTGAAATATAGAGTTCCTAATAATAAACCTAATAAAAAGTTATCTCAATCCTTTTGGAGAGAGCTACTAAACAATAATGAAAAGATATAATCAAAGACCTAAGTAAAAGTAAATATATATATCATTTTCATGAATGAGAAAATTATACATATTGGGAAGATGCCAATTTTTTAAAGTCAACATTTGAAAAATTCACAAATTCAAAGCAATCACACTTAAAATCCACACAGGATTTTTCATTGAACTTGAAAAGGTGATTATAAATGCATTTAGAAGATAAAAAT